CCCCCAAAACCCCAAAACCCCAAAACCCCAAAAATCTTAAAATATTAAATAAAATGGAACAAAAAAGGGCTAAATTTGTCTTGAAAGAAGGCATTATTTATAAGATTTACAGTGTATGTCAAAATCGATTTAGGAGAGGGTTTAGAGGAGTTTTGAGGCGTTTTAACGTGTTTAATTTTCATTTTTATAGTATTTTGATGTATATGATCTTGTCAGGTTTGGAAGAATAAGTAAATAAATGGAGAAATTTTCTGTATGAAATTCCTATGCCAATTTTTGAAAATTTGAATCTGGATTTGACTCAAGGGCTGAGTCCGTATAATAGAAAAAGAATGAAAAGTAAGTTTGAATGTAAAAATTGATTTCATCACGAATAGAATTTTTACTTGATCAAAATCCTGAAATGAAAGAAATCATTAATCGATACGACGACAATAATGAAGCAATTGAAGATGAGTTTGAACTTGGCCCTAAATGGAGGAAAGTACAACTACACCTGTTATCTCAACAAATTTATGAGCAAGTTCACTTCTGTGCAGAGATTATGACAAAAATTCAAGTGATAAAATCAATCAAAATAAATTTCAACAATGATGACTTATGTGATGATGAAAATAACTTTACTACAACGCTGAAATGAGTCAAGTACTTCTTAACTTCCATCAGTAAATTTTGAAAGACTGTCGAAAGATTCGAAGTGATCTTCCTGCGTTCGAACAGAATAGAGAGAAATGAACAATATGCTGAAGAAATAAAGAATTTCCTCCAAGCAATCAGTGACCAAGAAACTCTCAAAGAATCAATGAAGGTAGTCAAATTTGACTCGTATGGCACAGAGATAATGGTTGGATTAATTTCAGGGTTTAAAAACCTTGAGGAGCTTAAAATTGTTGACTGAATATACCTCGAAGGCGACTATTTCCCCATCATCAAGGCAACTTGTCTTCAAAAATTGAACTTGAGTGGAAGTCATCAGATTGAATCCAGTCACATTCAAATGTTGGTTGAGAGAAACTCCCAAACACTACGAAGTCTTAAGCTTGATGGAGAGAATATCGATGGAGAAGAGCTCACTCAAATAATAGCTGAACTAAAGACTTTAGAGGAACTCTGAATATATTATGGCAATTCAGCCAGCTCAGACTTGCTAAAAGTGATCGCAAAGCATAGCCAGACTCTGAAGAAACTTGTGATTAGGAAAAACGAGAACTTTCTTGAGCAAGATCTTGTATTTTTCTTTGGGCATAAATTTCCTAAACTACATACTCTAATTCTTGATGAATGCAATAATTTAGATACTGAAGGAGTTAAATAAGATCGCAACTAATTGTCTAGCTCTTAGGTATTATAGCTCAGAATGGTGTCTAAAGATAGACCCTTGAGCAATAGAGAATTTGATCCTAAACTGTGAAAGCCTTGAAAATCTGAGCCTTTCAGGAATGAAAACTTTGGACGATACAGTTTTCTCAAAGTTATTCGCTCATGTAAAGGATGGGAAAGGCATAGTTCCACTCAAACTAAAGGAGATTAATTTTAAAATGTGAAATTATCTGTCAAAACCAGTACTTGAACAAATGAAAGAGTACTACCCCAACTGAACAGTGATTGATTATTATGGGGAACCAGTTGAATGTGATGACAATGAAGCCTCAAATAATAGCTCTTTTTAATGCAAGAATTCAATATACCTGGGATTGAAGGGGTTTTGGGGTTTTGGGGTTTTGGGGTTTTGGGG